GTAGGTTATAAACTTTCAAGCCGCACCAAAGTCGGTTATTCACCCAGTTTCCCATTAAACTCAACGCATTCCTACTTTAAAATGGAAGCCAAAACCAACATTGTGGGCAATGAGGGTCAAAGCATCGGCTCTACTCTTCATAAATCACGTCCCAAAGCCTGTGACCAAGTCATCCTCACTTATGAATTCGTACAACACAAAAATCTCAGCTTCAGCTTAATCGTGCTCTTAATGTTCTTGAGTATTTAATTATGAGTGATTATCCTAACATGGGAGTTATTCCGGCCTAAATCTTATTATATCTAAAAATAAAAAGTAGACACGCTGGGAACACAGCAGAAATAGATTTGGAATCAACGTTTAAAACTGGTTAAAAATCGCTGATCAGGAAACTAAATATAATTTTGTAGATCATTAAGAACAAAAAGGGCACAATACCATGACAGGAGCAATACATAAATAACTCGCACAGGGGAGACAGACAAGTTTATGACGACGTCTGGGTCCGTCTTCCACGAACCGGGGACAGAAGAACACAAGTTAAACAAATGGGCCGAATTATCTAAGGAAATACTTTCTCACCCTCACAGTAGCTAGGAAGAATGACTTAAGAGATGATGATTTTGAAAGACTCCATACACCGTTTTATCGCCAGGTATGGCAGGACAGCAATATAGTCAAGAGCTTATCCAGAGGAATATCTTGGAAGTCCGGAAGTCCCTCTCGATACACAAGCTGTTTGTCTGACTTCTCTGGTCTCTCATCTTCCTTCGTTACCTGACCAAATAATCTACATAAAGTCAAACGAATGTTTAATTCCAAAACTACCCCATGATTATCCTATTATATATATCCTAATACCTGTCCCATATGGCTTCAAAAAATAGTCCTGACGTGATCAGATTTTTTTCTCTGGGTGCTTAAAATCAGAATCCTAAATACATTACTGCCCGGTTCATGGGTCAGCAAATTAACAAAAGGGGTTGAACGCCCATATAATTCCAGCTCAGGAACTGAGCAACAACGACGGCAACCAGAGTTAGGGATTACAACTGAGTCTTACAAGGCGAGTACAACGCAGTATAGCTAGGTGATTACGTGTATAAATTGCTTAAATATTTTCCTTCACCTGTTCGTGAAAGTAATTCTTCACATTTCAATTATCTGTTGCGATGAAAAAGTTATTTGTAATATTTGGTATGATCAGTTTGTAAGTAAACAAGGGAGAAATGCTAACATGCTATCTCCCAAGAAAACAGCATACTTACAAGAACACAGACCTGTCCCCCCTGCGCGCGCGTGCGTGCGCGCGCGCGCACACACACACACACACACACACACACCTGGAGCAAACGAGGGGACTGAAGAAAATTAAAGAACTAAGCTATATGCAGAGGCCCTAACGGACCACAGCAGTACCCAGGAAAAGCTGAGAAAGGAAAAAATGAGACTACCGAGCACAGGGACAGCAGACAGAGAAGAGACTGAAGGAAGGAAAGCTGCAATGGAGGCAACTAAATCAACTCAGGGGATGCAAAGGAAAATGCTGTGGGAGAATGAAAGGGAGAGGTCAGTCTTTGTTTATGGGCTCCAGGAAGTAGAAAGGGAAACTTATGAAGCAAGAAGACAGGAGGAGAAAAAAGTGATTGAAAGTATCAAGAAAGCAATAAGAGAGGACCACATGACCCAGCTGGCAATTTTTATGAGAATAGAGGGGTTTGCAAGAGAAAACGGCCAGTCAAAATGATTTTCAAGGCAGATTCATCTCGAAACAAGATCTTGCAGGAGAAAGCGCGACTAAGGGACAAACCAACATATTGGAGGGTGTACCTCGACTGTGTCAGGACACAAGATGAAAGGCAGAAACTGAAAAAGAGAGGGTACAAAGACACGAGGAAAGAGAAGCAAAGACAGAGATTAGCAGGAGAACCCAGACTCAGAAGGAAGAGCAAATACAACCTCCCTCAGAACCACCTACAGAAGGCCCTCAACCATGACAACCCTAACGCAACCAAGCAATTTAACCCAAAACCCCCCACCATACCCACTGCCCCCACCCCCCTCATCACAAACTCCACCCCAACAGCAACCCCCCATAGTTCCTCGCCAGGTTTCCCGCTCCCCCAACCCCTATGTTCTCCCCAGACCACAGGTTTAGAAAAGTTGAAGGTTTGGTATAGGAATGCAGACGGAATAACAAATGTGAGGAGTGGCATGAAAGAATCAAGGAGACGTCCAGTCATTATTGCACTTAGAAAAACGAAACTCACAGGGATGATAACAGATGCAATCTTCCACCCAGCTATCAGATCCTCAGGAAAGATAGAGGAAGCAGAGGAGGAGGAGGAGTTGCACTGTTCATTAAAAACCGATGGGGAGTTAAGGAAATGGAAGGAATGGAAGAAATGGGCAAAAGGGACTACATGGCAGGTACAGTTCAGTCTGGGGGACATAAGGAAGTCATTGCAGTGATGTACAATCTGCCGCAGAACTGCAGAAGGCCAAGAGAAAAATATGAAGAGAGCAACAAAGCAATGGTGGACACACTGACTGAGGTAGCCAGAAGAACTCAAACGGGTAGAGCAAAGCTACTATTTATGGGTGATTTCAATCACAAGGAGATTGACGGGAAAACCTGGAGCCACATGGGGGTCCCAAAACATCGAGAGCCAAGATGATGGATGTGGTACTCGAAAACCTCATGCACCAACAACAAAACTGGACCTCGTATTCACCTTGAGTAGCTTGGACATCGAGGACATCACATATGAAAGGCCCTCAGAGCTAGTGATCAAATTGTTCTGAGCTTTGAATACATAGTTACAAGTGGAGAGGGTAACAGGAGAAGGATGGGAAAAAGTCAGACTACAAAAGGGGGGACTACACAGGCATGAGGGACTTTCTGCAAGACGTTCAGTGGGAAAGATAATTGGTAGGAAAATCAGTAAATGAAATGATGGACTATGTGACAAAATGCAAGGAGGCAGAGGAGAGGTTTGTTCCCAAGAGCAACAGAAATAATGGGAAGACCAGAATGAGTTCTTGGTTTGACCAAAGGTGTAGAGAGGCAAAAACTAAGTGCACTAGAGAATGGAAAAAGCACAGAAGACCCAGGAAAATAGATTAGTGGAAGAGCCAGAAATGAGTATGCACAGATAAGGAGGGAGGCCCAGCGACAGTTCGAAGACAACATAACGTCGAAAGGTAAGTCTGACCCGAAGCTGTTGTATAGCCACATCAGGAGGTAGACAACAGTCAAGAACCAGGTAATCAGGCTGAGGAAGGAAGGTGGAGAGCTCACAAGAAACGACCAAGAAGTATGTGAGGAGCTCAACATGAGATTTAAGGAAGTCTTTACAGTGTAGACAGCAAGGACTCCAGGAAGTCAGATTAGGGAGGGTACACCAACAAGGGATATACCAACAAGTGCTGGATGAAATACACATAACCGAGGAGGAGATGAAGAAGCTGCTAAATGAGCTTGATACTTCAAAGGCGGTGGGACCGAACATCTCTCTGTGGGTCCTTAGAGAGGAAGCAGAGATGCTGTCTGTTCCACTAACAATTAACTCGTCCATTGAAATTGGGCAACTACCTGAGGTATGGAAGACAGCAAATGTAGTCGCCATTTTTAAGAACAAAAGACAGACACGAGGCACTAAACTACAGACCAGTTTAACTGACGTGCAGAGTATGCAGTCATGGAGAAGATTACGAGGAGTGGTGAAGCACCTAGAACGGAACAAGTTTATGAACGACAACCAGCACTGATTCAAGAAAGGAAAATCCTGTTTCACAAACCTACTGGAATTTTATGACAAGGTAATGGAAGTAAGACACGAGAGAGAGAGAGGGGTGGGTAGATTGCATTTTCTTGGACTGCAAGAAGGCCTTGGACACAATTCCTCAGGAAGCATAACAGGACAGGCATCGCAATGGATCTGGGAATACCTGGCAGGGAAGCAACGAGTCGTGGAGCCATGATACGTAAGGAGATGTCAGAGTGGGCGCCTGCGACGAGCGGGGTTCCACAGGGGTCAGTCCTAAGACCAGTGCTGTTTTTGGTATTTGTGAATGACTCAAAAGTGTCCCTGTTTGCAGATGAAGTGAAGTTAATGAGGAGAATTAAATCGGACAGACTGCAAGCCTGCTCCAGCAACTGGCTCCTTGAATTTAACCCCGCCAACTGCAAAGCCATGATCGGGAAAGTGCAAAGACCGCAGATAGAGTATAGGCTAGGTGGCCAAACACTGCAAACCTCACTCGAGGAAAAGGATCTTGGGGTGAGTATAATACCGAGCACATCTCCTGAGGCGCACATAACCAGATAACTGCTGCAGCATATGGACGCCTGGCAAACCTGAGAATAGCGTTTCAATACCTCATTAAGGAATCATCGTGTACGTCAGGCTCATACTGGAGTGTGCAGCACCAGTTTGGAACCCACACCTGGTCAACCACGTCAGGAAATTAGAGGATATAGTGAGTAACAACTGTGTCGTGTTTGTGACGTCAGCTGACAGTAGTGAGTGGTAGCCGTGTGATATTTGCTAGCTGACAGCAGTGATAGTAGTTTAGTGGTTGTTAGCTGACAGAAGAGAGAGAGAGAGAGAGCGCGCACACACATACACATACACATACACTGTACTTGTGAGAACTATCGTAGTAACTGCTCGGCAGTTGTCATTAATTTGTTTCCTACGGCCAGTATTATCTTGATACCTTATAGGTCACCAGGCCCAGATTACGATGATCTAAGTCACTTTGCATGTACATAAACATACCTAACAGATATCCAAATGATTATTTGTAAAATAATTCTTCATTGTTCAAACAATGAAGAGAGAGATCAGGTTTGAGTAACATCTCGTCTGAGATACACAAACCTGATCCGTTTTCCGTGTGTCCTTCACCTTTCTGATAGTGATGGTCTGGACAGGTATATAAGAGTCGACTCGCATGTTATGCACCACTCACTCTGCGTTCTCTCTAACTCCAACATGATCCTGGTAAGGCATTCTGTAACTTCTGTATCAATCATCTAAGTTTTCACAAGGTCTAGAAGTCATAGATATTTTTAGAATGCCAGCCTCTATTTCTGCACTTCTTTGTATAACATTTTAGCAAAATTTTACACTTTTTTTTTACAAATCATGTTTAAATTTAGAGAATTTTTACGAAGCTGAAAATTAATGTAAAAAACTTTACTAATATGGCTTTTTCGTTTTAGATTTAGAACAATTCGGAGAGTAATAAATTTTTTCGTCTTGCAGAAAGTGGTATTCTGCACTTTGTTGGTTGTTGTGGGAGCCGATAAGCTTCCGTCTACTTCTTACGGAGCACCCGCCAGGGGAAGTGGAGGCTTCACTGCGGGATCCAGAGGAGGCTTTGGTGGGGGTTTCGGAGGCTCGCCTGCGGGAGGTTTCGGAGGCTCACCTGCGGGAGGTTTCGGAGGCTCACCTGCGGGAGGTTTTGGAGGACCAGCTAGTGGAGCCTTCGGAGGTTCAGCTGGTGTAGGCTTCGGGGGAGCTGGTAGTGGAAGTTCTCTTAGCGGAAGTTACAGACCTTCAGGTCCCGTAGTCCCAATCTTAAGAGACGACCGTGAGGGACCTGATGAGTATGGAAACTATAATTTTAACTTTGAAACTGGTGATGGCATCAGTCGTCAGGAGCAAGGCGCCCCTCAGGGTCCAACTGGTGCTGTGGCAGCTCAGGGAGGATGGACGTGAGTAATCTTTAACAGTTTGTCAAAGAATATGTATATAAGAAGTTTTCTCTAGAAATATATGATATTAACTTATGGTAACAATTAATCTAATTGTGGTATTGTGTTTCAGATTTACTTTCCCCGATGGAACTCCCGCTGTTTTCAACTTCGTAGCAGATGAAGGTGGTTACCGCGTGGAGTCTCCTCTTCTGCCACCTGTCCCCGCCCACGCTATCGCCCAGATCGAGAAGGCTCGTCAGGAAGACGCCGCCGCAGCTGCTGCAGGTGGACGTGGATCATACAGTGCTCCCTCAGGTTCTGCTTCTCAGTTTACTGGAACACCTGCTGGAGGCTTCGGTGGTTCCCCTGGTGGTGGCTTTGGTGGTTCCCCTGCTGGTGGCTTCGGTGGTTCCCCTGCTGGTGCCTTCGGTGGCTCGCCTTCAGGTGGCTTAGGAGGTTCATCTGCTGGACTCTTCGGTGCTTCACCTAGTGGCTTCGGAACCTCAAGCCGTGGAGGTGCTCCTGTGGCTCCCAGTAGGACTTACGGAGCCCCATAAGCATTAATCTTTACCGTACAAATGACTCCATCATTCTCGATACATATTCGTTAGCTATTTTCTCACCTGATATCTTGTTCTGAACTTCTGTCATTCCTGGATTCCTTAGTCACACTAATTTTGTGAATTAAGTCAGCTAATCTTGCCACAGATAATCTGTTATTTGACGTTGCATGACAGTACGCTTATTTTATTGTTACGTATTTAATAAAAAATAAAATGGGTTTAAATATACTTTTTTTCTATTTCTTATATAAAATTCAATTGACAAATTCCAGAGAGATTGCATTCGAAAAAAAACAATCCAGTAGGTACTATGTTGAGACAAATCAGTTTTCAAATTATTTTGTCATAATTGATTAAATGGGTCCACCTCTGGTGTAAATTGTGGGACCCATAGCCTCGGAGAAGTGGATTAAAAGGCTTCAAGGAAGAATATTTGGATTAAATATATATACTGGTAGCATAAGTGTACTTTAGTTATCAGGGAAGCTGAGAAATTTTTTCTTTATTGTCGACTGTTTCTGCATCTCAAAATTACCCTCTTTTCACCTTTTCTTATGGATATAGCAAGTAACAACTGTGTGGTGGTTGTGATGTCAGCCCACAGTGGTGAGTAGCAGTTGTGTCGTGGTTGTGATGTCAGTTGATAGTAGTGAGTGGCAATTGTGGTGTTTAGCTGACAGTAGTGAGTGGTAGCTGTGTGATATTTGCTAGCTGACAACAGTGAGTAATAGCTATGTAATGGTTGTTAGCTGACAGTGGTGACTTAAAACACATGCACGCACGTGCGCACTCCTGCTTCCCTCTGTGGGGCATGTGGTATGCAGGCGACTCTGGGATATATTTTAACCATTTGCCAGTTTGTCTACAGTTTAGGCCTTTCCACCGGAGTGCCTGTGAGGATCTTCCAGAACTTTTAAGGAACTCTTTAATGCTGTTTTTTTAAGTGATCTTATTTTAACGTGGTATAAAATTTCTTGTGAAAATTTCAATAATTTTCGTGACTTTTGCGGGTTTTTTTTTAATTGTTTGAATTATTGAAGGTATTGTATATTTTGTAAATATAACGACTACTGTTAGTACTATTACTAATACTACTAAAAAGAATAGAGGTGCGTGTATTAAATGAAAGTTAAGCAATGTGAATATATGAAATTCTTGGTAGAAGATCAGTTTTGCGACGATGCTGTAAGGCTTGGCTGTACGACTTCCTCTTTCTCACGTCCCTTAACAGCAACAGAGGTCTTACTCATTCCACAACAGTGACGTTAATATTGGTGTCTCTAACACCTGTTAACACTGTAGGTCGCAAGCAGATTACCTGCCATAATTAGCCATGCCCTCCATACCCACGATGACAATTACAAACTTTCTACTGCGTATTTCCGTTCAAGCCGTGTATTCTTTCAGCAGTTTGCTGCTCACGGTCGTTCAATTTACCTTGAGCAACATTGCTGACGTATTTACTTCGACAGTGCAGGACGAACAAGAGAGTCTATAAGGAAGAGTGACTGTTAGAGTTGGAGTTCCGGGAAAATATTGCCTCTGCTCTTGGTAAATGCTCGGTGATCTACAGTTGATTGAGGACATACTTTCATTCCACATTATGTATTAAGGCGCCTATGAGAATGTGTGTGTGTGTGTGTGTGTGTGTGTGTGTGTGTGTGTGTGTGTGTACTCACCTAGTTGTACTCACCTAGTTGAGGTTGCGGGGGTCGAGTCCGAGCTCCTGATCGCTACTAGGTCACTCTCCCTGAGCCGTGAGCTTTATCATACCTCTGCTTAAAGCTATGTATGGATCCTGCCTCCACTACATCGCTTCCCAAACTATTCCACTTACTGACTACTCTGTGGCTGAAGAAATACTTCCTAACATCCCTGTGATTCATCTGTGTCTTCAACTTCCAACTGTGTCCCCTTGTTACTGTGTCCAATCTGTGTGTGTGTGTGTGTGTGTGTGTGTGTGTGTGTGTGTGTGTGTGTGCGTGTGTGTGTGTGTGTGTGTGTCAAGCCGAATAAGCCGAATCGAAGAATTTGGCTTAAAAAACAATTGTCATTTCTGCAGCATAAGCAAAGTGAAGAAGCTGTATGAAAAAGTCTGAGAAAATAAATCCGAACGCAAGATAAAAATATGTATCACTGATTTTACGTAATATTAAATAACATTAAACTGCTCTATTAGATATTTAGTAGAATTTAGTTAAATTATGATAGCTAAGGATAGGTGAAGCTTCTAAGTTACGCTTGATGAGTAGACAGTTGCTAAAGTCAGTCATAAACTGCAGAAAGGTTTCCCAGTAATCTGTTTGCCTTATTACGTATGCTTAGGCACTGCTGTCTTAGTTTAAGTTGCTACTTACTATAACCCCCAACTCCTTTTCGCATTCTGTATGGCTAAGTTCTACATTATTTAGTTTAAAAGTGGACATTCCCGAGCTTTAGAACTTTGCATTTATAAACCATACCCCGGCCGGGATTGAACCCGCGGTCAGAGAGTCTTAAAACTCCAGCCTCTGACCGCGGGTTCAATCCCGGCCGGGGTGTGGTTTGTTTGCAATCGTGTCATTACGATTTCGTGAGTCATGTTTTGCATTTATATACATTGAACTGCATCTGCCACTTTTCTGACCACGAATTGAGTTTGTCTAAATCCTCCTGAAGTTCAATGACATCAACGTCTGAATCAGTTATCCTACCTATCTTCGTGTCATCAGCGAATTTGCTCAGGTCACTAGTAATTCCTTTGTCAATGTCATTGTTGTATAAACACTGGTCCTAAAACTGATCCCTGTGGAACCCCACTCGTTACAGATCCCCACTCAGATATTATCCCATTTGTTTCCTGTTGGTGAGCCATGACTCGATGCATGAGACCTACCCCCCTCATTCCCCCAGTGCCGTGAGCTGCTACACTGTCTCTGGTGCGGTACCCCTATCAAAAACCTTACTAAAACCCTAATAACAACATCGCACAATTTTTTTTCACACATTACGAAAGTGTTCTCGATTTTTCTCCATGCACAGTTTTTGAGAAAAGCTCATTTATATTTTTTAGGCCTATTATAGGTGTGGCCTGCAAAGAGTACGTTACACTTTACTCGGAGTATGCATAAACTCCCAGACAGGCTGCCTCCCAACTAGCGAACCAGGTGCAAAGGGTTTAACGGTAAGGGTATCCATTGTTAAATTAGCACCTTGGTTCATTGCCCAGTCATAGACGTACCTGCCAAATGCTGAGGTGACGTGGTTCACTCCTAGTCAGCATTTGCCAGACTCTGGTTGAAGCACGGTGCTCTCTCTCTCTTTGGCTTCTGTCTTTGCCTTTATCACCATGTGGTACACTTACATTCCACTCCTGTAATAGTGTACATAAGTTAAATATTCCAACCCATTACGACCAGGTCAACAGGCCATTAATACCTGTGTTCGTAATAATAGGCCTGAAAAGTATGGTCGCTTAATATTTCTTTTCAGTTAAACATTTGATCGATGATAAGTATAATGCTTTCGTACATCAGGCAGTGCAACGTTTTAGGTTCTCCTTGCAGGTAGGCAGAGGCCTAAAAACCTAAGATAATGTAGGCTGCTAAGGTAATGCGGCCAAAAACTCACGAGGGAGAGAATATGAATGAGAAGTAATGAGGATAGGAAAATGATCACCGTCATGTAAATCTGGGAGCACAGACTAGGTACAGTCGAGTGCAGTTAGAGGAGAAGATTAAGAGATCTATAGAAGAGATATAAGTGAGTGTCAAACACGTTAAGAAATTAGAGAATGTGCATTTCCAGCCACTCTGACTACTACTAAGAATAATACTGATGTTGCTGATGCTAACATTATCGCTGCTAATCTCGCTCTTCTCTACAGCGATACCTATTTAAGGGCACTTCCAATGTCAGAGACATATCTAGCCTAGTTCCCATGCACTTGTGGACTAATAATAGGCTGCGAGAAACGAACGACAAAACCCTTGTTTCTGTTAATTAAGTCGCCTCAACTATGGGCTTTCGACCAATTTCACTATTAAATCACGACAAGTTTTCCCCAATTTTGGGTCTTTTTAGTATTCAAGTGGAACCCATTTTTTGTTTCTTTTTCGAAAAATTTTTCTGTACTAATCGCTGGTGGTTAGAAACTGAGACAATAAGACTGTGTTCTTACCTAGTTGTGGTTACAGGGGTCAACTCACAGCTCCTGCCCCTGTACTCGCCTATTTGTACTCACCTATTTGTGGTTGCAGGGGTCGAGTTATAGCTCCTGGCTCCGCCTCTTCACTGATTGCTGCTAGGTCCTCTCTCTCCCTGCTCCATGAGCTTTATCAAACCTCGTCTTAAAACTATGCATGTGTGTGTGTGTGTGTGTGTGTGTGTGTGTGTGTGTGTGTGTGTGTGTGTGTGTGTGTGTGTGTTCGGGCCGAATAAGCCGAACTGACGAGTTTGGCTTAAAAAAACTATTGTCATTTCTGCAGAATAAGCAGAGTGAAGAAAATATGAAAAAGTCTGCGGAAATGAATCTGAACGTCAGATAAAAATATATGTCGCTGATTTTAGGTAATATTAAAACTAAACTATTCAATTAAATATTTAGTGGAAAATAGTTAAATTATGATAGAAACTTCACCTAACTATCGTTATCTAAGTTACGTTTGGTGAGTACATACTTAAGTCAGTCATAAACTGCAGAAAGTTTGAAAATATTCCACTAGACTGATCCAGTAGCTGAGGGCTAAATAGTTGGCTGATGACAACTGAGGAAAGAATGGCTTGAGAAGACATAAATATAACGCACTAGATTAAGAAATTTACAGAATAGACTGACAATTTAAGAGGCAAGGACCGGGAACAGAGTTCAATTTAGGGACACAAATGGGCAGAAGAATTTTTAAGTTATTTCCCTTCCTCAGAGCAGTTTGGACGAATGACACTGAGGAGAACATTTTGAAAGCAAACCTCACAGTTTTATGGCTAGGTATGACAGGGCACCAGTGTGTTCAAGAGCAGGAGAGTTTCATGGTAGCCCAGAACTTCCCCTCGATTCCCAAGCTGCTCGTAAGAATTCATCTTCCTTCGTTGCCTGACTACCTAATCTACAAAAAAACTACCAAGTTACCCCTTGATTATCTTTCCAGATATGTTAATACAAGTCTCACATGGCTTCAAAAAAGTCCTGACATGACATGGATGCTTAAAACTATGAAATCTTCCTCTCAGAATGCTGGATACGCTACTGCCCGGTTCATGGGTCAGCAAGCTAGCAAAACCGGTTGTCTACCAATGAATGGCCAGCTCAGCTGAACCACGTCTACCGCAACCAGTGTTAGGGATTGCAGCTGAGTATTACTAGGCGAGTACAACTCATTATTGGTAGGTGATAACGCGCCACAAAATACTTGATATTATCCTTCACCTGTGAGCATAAGTGATTTTTCCAGTTATCTAGCAATGTTTCGTATCTTTCAGTTATTTGTTGCAATGGCAAACTTAATTATAATGGTCGGTATGATCAGCTTGTAAGTAAATACGACAAGTGTAAATATTCTGTCTCCCAAAAAAACTGCATCGTTTTAATGTTAAACACACACACACACACACACACACACACACACACACACACACACACACACACACACACACACACACACACACACACACACTCACACTCGTGGGGCCAGGAGATGAATATCGACCCCTGCAACCACAATTAGGCGAGTTTGTTCCCAAGGGAAACAGAAATAATGGGAAGAACGGAACGAGTCCTTGGTTCACCCAAAGGTGTAGGGAGGCAAAAACTAGGTGTACTAGAGAATGGAAAAGGTACAGAAGACAGAGAACTCAGGAAAATAAAGAAATTAGCCGAAGAGCCAGAAACGAATATGCACAGATAAGATGGGAGGCTCAGAGACAATATGAAAATGACATAGCATCAAAAGTAAAGACTGACCCGAAGCTGTTGTACAGCCACATCAGGAGGAAAACAACAGTCAAGGACCAGGTAATCAGACTGAGGAAGGGTGATGGGGAATTCACAAGAAACGACCGAGAGGTATGTCAGGAGCTCAACACGAGATTTAAAGAGGTATTTACAGTGGAAACCAGTAGGACTCCAGGAAATCAGAACAGGGGGGCACACCAGCAAGTGCTGGATAAGGTACATATAACCAAGGAGGAGGTGAAGCTGCTGCTATGCGAACTTGACACCTCAAAGGCGGTGGGACCAGACAACATCTCTCCATGGGTCCTTAAAGAGGGAGCAGAGATATTGTGTGAGCCATTAACAAAGATCTTCAACACATCATTTGAAACTGGGCAACTCCCTGAGGTATGGAAAATGGCAAATGTAGTCCCAATTTTTAAAAAGGGAGACAGACATGAGGCACTAAACTACAGACCTGTATCACTAACGTGTATAGTATGCAAGGTCATGGAGAAGATCATCAGGAGGAGAGTGGTGGAGCACCTGGAAAGAAACAAGTGTATAATTGGCAACCAGCACGGTTTCAGGGAAGGAAAATCCTGTGTCACAAACCTACTAGAGTTTTATGACAAGGTGACAGAAGTAAGACAAGAGAGAGAGGGGTGGATCGACTGCATATTTTTGGACTGCAAGAAGGCCTTCGACACAGTTCCTCACAAGAGGTTACTGCAAAAGCTAGAGGATCAGGCACACATAACAGGAAAGGCACTGCAGTGGATCAGAGAATACCTGACAGGGAGGCAACAACGAGACATGGTACGCGACGAGGTGTCAGAGTGGGCGCCTGTGACAAGCGGGGTTCCACAGGGGTCAGTCCTAGGACCTGTGCTGTTCTTAGTATATGTGAACGGCATAACGGAAGGGATAGACTCAGAAGTGTCCTTGTTTGCAGATGATGCTAAGTTAATGAGAAGAATCAAATCGGATGAGGATCAGGCAGGACTACAAAGAGACCTGGACAGGCTACAAGCCTGGTCCAGCAACTGGCTCCTTGAATTTAACCCTGCCAAATGCAAAGTCATGAAGATTGGGGAAGGGCAAAGAAGACCGCAGACACAATATAGTTTAGATGGCCAAAGACTGCAAACCTCACTCAAGGAAAAAGATCTGGGGGTGAGTATAACACCGAGCATATCTCCTGAGGTGCACATCAATCAGATAACTGCTGCAGCATACGGGCGCCTGGCAAACTACGGATAGCGTTCGAACCTCAGTAAGGATTCGTTTAAGACTTGTATACCATTTACGTCAGGCCCATACTGGAGTATGCAGCAACAGTTTGGAATCCACACCTAGTCAAGCACGTCAAGAAATTAGAGAAAGTGCAAAGGTTTGCAACAAGACTAGTCCCAGAGCTACGGGGATTGTCCTACGAAGAAAGTTTGAGGGAAATCGGCCTGACGACACTGGAGGACAGGAGGGCCAGGGGAGACATGATAACGACATATAAAATACTGCGCGGAATAGACAAGGTGGACAAAGACGGGATGTTCCAGAGAAGGGACACAGACACAAGAGGTCACAATTGGAAGTTGAAGACTCAGATGAATCAAAGGGATGTTACGAAGTATTTCTTCAGTCATAGAGTAGTCAGGCCGTGGAATAGCCTAGAAAGTGACGTAGTGGAGGCGGGAACCATACATAGTTTTAAGGCGAGGTATGAAAGAGCTCGTGGGGCAGGGAGAGAGAGGACCTAGTAGCAATCAGCGAAGAGGCGGGGCCAGGAGCTGTGAATCGACCCCTGCAACCACAAATAGGTGAGTACAAATAGGCGAGTACACTCTCTCTCTCTCTCTCTCTCTCTGTACTTGTGGGAATTCTCATAGTAACTGCTCGGCAGTTGTCAGTAATTTGTTTCCTACGGCCACTGTTATGATCACTTGTACGTCGCCAAGACATAGCCTACGAAGGTAGGGCGTTGCAAACGTAAACGTACCTAACAGATATCTAAATGACTACCTTTTGTCAAACACTTTTTCACTGTTTTTCAAACAATGAAAAGAGATCAGGTTTGTGTAAGATCTCATCTGAGATACACAAACCTGATCCGTTTTCCGTTCGTCCTTCACCTTTCTGATAGTGATGGTCTCGACGGGTATATAAGAGTCGACTCGCATGTTATGCGCCACTCGCTCTTGGTTCTCTCTGACGACATGATCCTGGTAGGGTATTCAGTAACTTCTGTACCAGTCCTCTATATTCTTATAAGATCTAAAAGTTATAGATGTTCAGAATGCCAGCCTGTATTTTTGCACTTCTTTGTATAACATTTTAGCAAAGTTTTTTTTTTTTTTTTTACAAACCATGTTTAAATTCAGAGAATTTTTGCGAGGATAAAAATTAATGTAAAAAACTGTTACTAATATGGCTTTTTCATTTTAGAACAATTCAGAAAGTAATAAATTTTTTCGTCTTGCATTTTTTTTTTATGGTAATGTCCAGGGTATATTACCTGGACCTCAGCAATGAGGGTACAATAAGTCACAAGGATACTTGCGGGGCTCGAACCCGCGATGCTTGAGTTTTTCAACTCGAGAGGTCTTCGCTAACCACTGGGCCAGCGGGATATTTTTTTTTTTAATTTTATGTTAATGCCCAGGGTTTATTACCTGGACCTCTGCAATGAGAGTCGCTACTCTCACCGCTGGGCAACGGCGACCAGTGCTTAAAAGAGGCGAATTTGCCAAGTTGCATAATCGACTGTTGATATCTTCGTCTTGCAGAAAGTGGTATTCTGCACCTTGTTGGCTGTTGTGGGAGCCGATAAGCTTCCGTCTACTTCTTACGGAGCACCCGCCAGGGGAAGTGGAGGCTTCACTGCGGGATCCAGAGGAGGCTTTGGTGGGGGTATCGGAGGATCGCCTGCGGGAGGTTTCGGAGGCTCACCTGCGGGAGGTTTCGGAGGCTCACCTGCGGGAGGTTTCGGAGGCTCACCTGGGGGAGGTTTTGGAGGATCAGCTGGTGGAGCCTTCGGAGGCACAGCTGGTGTAGGCTTCGGGGGAGCTGGCAGTGGAAGTTCCCTTAGCGGAAGCTACAGACCTTCAGGTCCCGTAGTCCCAATCTTAAGAGACGACCGTCAGGGACCTGATGAGTATGGAAACTACAATTTCAACTTTGAAACTGGTGATGGCATCAGTCGTCAGGAGCAAGGCGCCCCTCAGGGTCCAACTGGTGCTGTGGCAGCTCAAGGAGGATGGACGTGAGTAATCTTTAATAGTTTGTCACAGAATGTGTATGTAAGATGTTTTCTCTAGAAATATATATTAACTTATGATAATAATGAATCTAATTTGTGGTATTGTTTCAGATTTACTTTCCCTGATGGAACTCCCGCTGCTTTCAACTTCGTAGCAGATGAAGGTGGTTACCGCGTGGAGTCTGACCTGGTGCCCACGCCCCATCCTCTTCCCGCCCACGCTATCGCCCAGATCGAGAAGGCTCGTCAGGAAGACGCTGCTGCAGCTGCCGCAGGTGGACGTGGATCATACAGCGCTGCTTCAGGCTCTGCTTCTCAGTTTACTGGAGCACCTGCTGGTGGCTTCGGTGCTTCACCTGCTGGTGGCTTCGGTGGTTCACCTGCTGGTGGCTTCGGTGCTTCACCTGCTGGTGGCTTCGGTGCTTCACCTGCTGGTGGCTTCGGTGCTTCACCTGCTGGTGGCTTCGGTGCTTCACCTGCTGGTGGCTTCGGTGCTTCACCTGCTGGTGGCTTCGGTGCTTCACCTGCTGGTGGTTTCGGTGCTTCACCTGCTGGTGGCTTCGGTGCTTCACCTGCTGGTGGCTTCGGAACCTCAGGCCGTGGTAGCGCTCCTGTGGCTCCCAGTAGAACTTACGGCGCCCCATAAGCATTACTGTACCGTACCAACGACTCCATCATTCTCGATACATATTCATTAGATATTTTCTCACTTGATAACTCGTTCATTTGTGTTGCTGTCATTCTTGGATCTTTTTGTCCCACTAAGTCAGTTTATCTTGCCACACGTGGTCTCTTAACTGACGTTGCACTGAATACGCTTATTCCATTTAATGTTATGAATTTAATAAAAATAAAATGATTTGAAATATACCTTTCTTCAGTTATACAAAATTCTAAAAACATATTAAAAATTAAAGAATGAAAAAATAATGCAATACTCAGTGTTAGACATAATCTTTGTTTATATTATTTTGTTATAATTGATTAAATATATATTGTGGAAGCCTAAGTATACGTAAGTGATCAGGGAAACTGAGAAACGTTTTCTGTATTGTCGACCAGCTCTGTATCTCAAAATTACTTTCTCCGTCTTTTCTTATGGATATGGTGAGTAACAACTGTATGGCTGTTGTGATGTCTGCTCACTGTCGTGAGTAGCATTTGTCGTGTTTGTGACGTCAGCTGACAGTAGTGAGTGGTAGCCGTGTGATATTTGCTTGCTGACAGCAGTGATAGTGTAGTGGCTGTTAGCTGACAGAAGAGAACACACACACACACAGACACACACACACAACACACACACACACACACACACACACACACACACACACACACACACACACACACAAAACCACACACACACACACACACAACCACACATACGCGCTCGCGTAAACAACAGGCCTAGTGTCTAATCGTCATGTGCCTAGGACACAGTGATAATTCACACATAGAGGTATGATAAATCTCAGGGAACAGGGAGGGAATGACCTAGTGGGAACCAGTAAAGAGGCAGGGCCATGAGCTATGATTCGACCCCTGCAACCACAATTAGGTAAGAACATATGCGACTGTGTTGTACGTGGTCGTGATGTACGTGGTTGTGATGTACATGGCCCAGATGTAAGTACGTGGTCGTGATGTATGTGGTCGTGATTACGTGGCCCTGATGTACGTAGTCACGGCATTATGACGGGTGAGCACTCCAGCATAATGCCGTGACTAAAATCAAAGTCCTAACATACAGGGGGGGGGGAGTCTTTCTCGTCAATGCATTATGCCGGGTAGCAGCAACCATTAGCATGACGTCACGGCCTGCCGCCAAACTCCACAGCGACTCCTCAGTGTTTACGTGGCTGCCGTGGTCAGAGGAAGTGTTGCACTTCTGTCTCGCATCTGCCCCATCTTTTGTCCGGTGTTCCCTTTGGTTTTGGGGCTATACATGTTTGATTATGGGTAAAAGGAAGTCTTTAACACCTGAAACTATATCAAATCATAGGGCTACACAAAGCTGGGCACCAGACGAAAGAAATAGTGGAGAATGTTAGTGTATGAGTGTTCAGTGAGGAGCTGGATGTAGCGTTTCAAGGCTGGTGGCGGTGTTGAGTTACCGTCTGCCAAACCTCGTCCTGGTCCCTTGAAGAAAACATCTGTTCACACCTTAACTGTGTTTAAGAAGCAGTTAGACAGTACACTTAAGACAACTGCTAGAGAACTGAAGGAAAAAAACCCACATCTTTTCTCAGAGGTGTCTGTAAGAACTGTTAACAGACGTGTGTCAGAACTGGGCTACAGTAGTCACCACCAGGTTAAGAAACAGATCCTCTCCAAGCCGCAGAAGAAACGTAGGCTGGATTATGCAAAGAAATATCTTCACTTTAATTCTCAACAGTGGTCTGAAGTACTTCGGAGTGATGAAGCAACCTTCACCGTCACCTGTAACCGTGGGGGACTTGTGTACTGGCCCAGAGGTAGTGACCACCCACGCTACACCTGTGGGACCACCAAACACCCAGACTCGCTCATGGTTTGGGGGTGTTTCAGTGCTCATTGTTGGTGAGGGATCTTAGAGAACTTTTAAGGAAGTCTTTTGTTAATAATAATTTAATGCTGTTTTAAGTGATCCATGGTACGAAAGTCCTTGTGTTGAATATTTCAATAATTTTCCTAACTTTTGCGGATTATTTGTTTGATTTACTAATTAGATTTAGATTTTGCCACCGAAGTGGCTAGTTTATTGTGCTCCCCATATCCATCCTGTGGACTGTAGCGCAAGAGCATGTGGGTACACAAAAGGCCTAGGAACTAGGCCCCAAAGGGTTAACAGGAATACATATGGATTTATATCTACATATCTATAGTTCAATTATCTGTTACAAGCAAATTTAGGAAATTTGCTTAGTATATCTGGTATCTTGGTATAAACCTTGGTAATAAATACCGACAAGTTGTGTACGAATGGTATATAATACCGACAAGATGAGATTAAGACACATGTGCAACTTCTGGGTATCTTTATTGAAGACGTTTCGCCATCCAGTGGCTTTATCAATACAAATTCTAGGACATAACTTGACAGTAGAACTATGTGCAGAAGATGAGGTAATCAGTCCCTCAACCTAGGAGTAGGTGTGAAGAGCACCAAAGTCGTGGAGATTCTGAAGCAGAAGAAAGGATCCTGGCGCTTATATAGTAACGTCAGGTGTAGCAGACGAGGGCATATTCACTGGTAGGCGGGATTCCCCAGTGGAAGTAGGTCCTTCCCAAAGAGATGGGTTAGTTGTAGTAGTAGTTGTCGTAGTCGTGAAGGTTATGTACATGTCCTCAGAATTAAGATTCCATGATGTTGCAGTGTCTGACAAGTTGTGTACGAATGGTATATAATACCGACAAGATGAGATTAAGACACATGTGCAACATCTGGGTATCTTTATTGTAGACGTTTCGCCATCCAGTGGCTTTATCAATACAAATTCTAGGACATAACTTGAAGACAGTAGAACTATGTACAGAAGATGAGGTAATCAGTCCCTCAACCTAGGAGTAGGTGCGAAGAGCACCATAGTCGTGGAGATTCAGATTCAGTAAGTTTGTCAGGCAGGAACGACCTCTCGTGAATCCATGCTGAGATTCATTTATCAAGTTATGCTCTTCAAGGTGACTTCTGATAATGTCAGCTATAATTGATTCTAATAACTTGCCCACTATAGATGTCAGGCTTATTGGACGGTAATTTGAAGGAGTGGACTTATCCCCTGATTTGAATATAGGAACCACATTAGCCATCTTCCACATATCTGGCACAACACTGGTAAGGATGGACGTATTGAATACACTCGTTAATGGCTGACTAAGCTCCATCTTGCATTCCTTAAGTACCCTTGAAAACAACTCATCGGGTCCCGGGGACTTATTTTGTTTCAGTTTGTCTATCTGTTTAATAACCATGTCCTCGTGACAGTAATATTAGTTAACTTGAATTCATCAGGAACTAAATAATTGTTAATTATGGAATCTCATTTACATCTTCCTGTGTAAAAACTGACAAAAAATAGTCATTAAATAAGGAACACATTTCCAGTTCATTATCCGTCAGCTGTCCATTCCCAGATTTCAGAGGTCCTATTTTTTTTCCTTCACCTTCGTCCTATACACTTGAAAGAACCCCTTTGGATTAGTCTTTGATTCATTAGCAACTCTAATTTCATAGTCACGTTTAGCCTTTCTAATCGCTTTTTTTACTTCTCTTTTAAGCTGAACATATTGGTCAGTAAGGTTAACCTCTCCTCTTCTGATGCGCCTATAAATTCCCCTTTTCTCCCCTAATAGATGCTTTAGCCTCCTGTTACACCCATTTGGGATCGTTATTATTAGACCTAATTTCTCTCTGGGAATGTATATATTCTGGGCACTGTGTACATTATTTAGAAAACAATCATAAAAGCAGATCCCTTCATATTCATAAGTATGATTATCGTCAATAAAATCATTAGCTAGATAACCCCAATCAAGATTAGACAAATGTTCCCTAAGTCCATTATAATCGGCAGAACGAAAATCGGGGATTTTTACTGTATTATCATTATTCTTGCATTCCCAATTATGCTAAAGGTGATGGATTTGTGATCACTTGCGCCAAGCTCTTCAGTGATCTCCAGATTATTCACTAGTGTTTCCTTATTTGACAAGACTAGGTCCAGCAAATTATTACCCCTGGTAGGTTCAGTTACACTCTGTTTCAGAAAACAGTCCTGAACTGTTTCCATGAAGTCACTGGACTCTAGATTACCTGTCAAAGAATTCCAGTCAATTTGGCTAAAGTTAAAGTCCCCTACTATGACTACGTTACTGTGTCCAGAAGCCCTAACAATTTCGTCCCAAAGAAGTCCTCCCTCTATCGTGATCCAAGCCTGGAGGTCGTATATTACACCTAGAATTAGTTTTTCTTGACCCTCCACGAACTCTACCCAAACAGACTCTGTTACTGCTCCATCTATTTTTATACCTGTTTTTATGCAACAATTAATATTTTCTCGGACATACAATGCAACTCCTCCCCCCCTTCCCATTACATCTATCCACATTGAATAACTTAAATCCCTGAATATTACACTCAACAGTCATATCCCGACTCTTTAAATCATACCACGTTTCAGTTAATGCAATGATATCAAAGTTCCCAGCACATGCTACCAAACGTAGTTCATTAATTTTATTTCTTGCACTTCGACTGTTAGCATAAAATACCATCATATGTTTTTTCTTCTGCACATTTTTCCTATTCATCTTTGTTTTTACACAATTTCTGAAATTATCATTACCCAAGAGTTACTACATGACAGTTACTATTAAGATTCTTAATATCAGAGCATAAGTCAATATATCCATACTCATTATTAATCATTTCTAAACCCATACCTCTAACTAATCCTAGTTTAAAGTCCTAAAACACCCCCTCAACTGAGTTAGCAAGAAAACCCACACCTGCCCTGGATAAGTGAACCCCATCCCTGCATACATGTCATTTTGGCCATAGAAGTTGTCCCAGTTGTCAATGAATGGTACTGCATTATCCTTACAGTGTTTATCCAGCCAACAATTAATACCAATTGCTCTGGACAACCATTCATTACCAACACCTCTTCTTGGCAAAATAGCCACATATAACAGGGCGCCCCCCTTCTTCCTAATCATGTCTATAGCTGTCCTGAACTTTCTAACTAAATCCTCACTTCTACGCTTGCCTACATCATTGCCTCCAGCACTGAGGCAAATAATAGGATTGATCCCATTACCGTTCATGATGTTGTCAA